GGAGGCACCGGGGGGAGGCCGGGGGTCAGGGTGGCGGTAAAGCTGCAGCGTGGGGCCGTCCTGCCTCGCATTAGGGGCAGGAATGAAGAGTAGGCCCGTCCTGCCCCGGGTGTGGTCAAGGTGAGGCTGCTCACTCGGGTTGTGAGGCCCTAGCGAGGTGGGTACCGGTGTGAGGAGCAGTGAGTGCTCTGCTGGCAGGTTTGTAGCTGGTGTTGGGTGGGCTTGGAGTTCTGATAACACTGTAAGTTGTGGTGCCAGTGGTTTTTAAGGTCCTTCCCTGCAACACTTTCCTTCACTGGTGCAGATGATGAGCATTGCAGTATGAAGTGCAACAATGATACTGTAAACGCTTTCTGATGTACCTTCTGCTGAGCCTGGTCTCTTAAGTCCTGCACCTAAAAACTAGTTTTACATGCCAAATGAACATGAGGGACGTCTTAGTAATTAAAAACTGGAACATGGTGCCTAAGTAAACTGGAGTTTTGTATCATCAGAGACAATTGAACTTGAATGGATGAGCCTTTAGCAAACTGTGCCTGCTTTGAGTCAACCAAATGACCTCCAGGGGTCACATTCAAGCCATTGTTCTAAATACTGCCTTTCTTTGAGAGGAGGGGAAATTCTTTTGAGAAAATATTTATTTTGTCAGTGTAACTCCACCTTTTAGCGGTCTGAGCTTGTAATCATTTTCAGTCAATGAGGAATTAATTACTGTATTGATGTCAAGACTAACGTTATTTTTTGTCTTCTAGAATCTTCCATTTTCTGTGGACAACAAATGGAGATTACTTGTACTAATGTGTGGATTCTTTGGAAGTGGATTTGCAGCCCCTTTTGTTATAGTCAGACACCAGCTTCTTAAGAAATGAAGAGGACACACTGTAATTGCACTAATTTGGTAACTGATTTTGTTAGATTTCATGGTGTACTGGAATCTGTGGTCTACACTGAGCTTTGAAGTGTCTAACCTCATAAAAAACCATTATTAAAACTTTCAGCCTTTCACAGTCCAGCTGGTCAGAGTTCTCATCTGCAGTTGCATGTGAGCTCAAATAATGAGAATATTTAAGTTTGCTTCACAGGGCTGCCAGACTCTCACTGACTTGTGGACTTTGACTCTCCAAAGGCCACACCTCTTGCCACAGCTTCTGTGTACGCTGCAGTTGGACAGGGGAGTGCTGCTGATTTGATGTAGATAACAACTATAACCAAGACTATGTCTGCCTGCTTTGAGGCAACATAAAGCTGCACTCTGTGTGGTCTGTAGGAATAACTGGCATGCGTGATGTGAACAAACAGTATGAGAAACTGTGATACTGTAAACGCTTTCTGATGTGCCAGTTAAAATTCAGTGGAAAACAAGTTTTCCTGAGTTCCAACCATGTCAAGCAATCATACCATCTGCATGTAACATTCCTAGCCATTTCCAGAGTAAAGTCCACCAAAAATAAGGGAATTAACAGCAATAATTATTTTAATCTGTGTTTTCTTGATGATACTTACAAACTAAGCCTCAGATACAGCTCAGACTGTGCAAGCATGCCATTTGCAGTTCAGAGGCCACATCAATTACATTAGTCTGATTCCACTTTTGAAATAAGAGGTATTTTCAGTTCCATAATCCAATGAATGATAAATGAGGACCTGGAATGTCACAGGTAGTCTTTGGAAGGAAGTAACAGTCCTTACTGGAATATCATAATTGGAATAAATTTAAGTCATCTGGGTGATTTCTTTCCCAATCTGATGGGTTTGGCTCCCTAAACTAAGGAGGGAAAAAAAAAATAAATCAGACTTCTATTGAATGTGAGCATTTAGAGCTCTGATTTCTTTTAAGTCAAGGCCTCAGCTGCAGAAGCATGTGATGCATGAAGCAGAGCCTATAATATTTCTAGTTAAAACAAGTACAGCTTTTCTAGATTTAAAATTAGCATGCAGTTCTTAAATTTGTTAATTCTTTTTCTTGCAGAGTTGAAATCTGTGTGGCATCTTTCAGTGGAAAAAGGAGAGCTGCAAATGCTGCATATGTCTAAATAAAATCTTTAACCTGAAGGTCCTGAGCTGTGTATTTTGTAATTTGACAGCAGGTGTGTAGTAAGAACTCATTGAAATTGCATAGTATTGACATTAAATGTAGCAGTAAATGTCTTATACTTGGAAAAATTTAAATTTCACAACTGAAGTTGATCTTAACATTTTTAGCTGGATAGATGTTTAAATGTTCCTTTCAAGTGATCTTTAGGCCACTGGCCTAATAATGACCTGGGATAGTTTATAACCAATGAGCCTCACAGTGAGTACACTGTCACCCTCATTCATGCTGCCCTGCTGTTACCTTCAGTGTTACAGGTTGATAGTTGAGAACATTTTTAGTTAAGTTTCACTTCCACTCTCATCTTTTCCAAAGAGCTGTTAAGAGAATCACAGAATCGGAGAATGCTTGAGCTTGAAAGGGGCTTCAAAGATCAGGTTCCGACCTCCCTGCTATGAGCAGGGACCCCTCCCACCAGACCAGGTTGCACAAACTTCATCCAACCTGGCCATAAAACACCTCTAGGCAGGGGGCAGCCACAACCTCCCTGGGCAACCTGCACCAGTGCCTTGCTACTGTCATGGTGAAGAATTTATTCCTAATGTCTAACCTAAATCTCCCCTCTTCCATTTAAAACCATTACCCCTTGTCCTATCACTGCCCTCTCTGGTGAAAACCCCTCCCCAGCTTTCCTGGAGCCCCTTCAGGCACTGGAAGGTGCTATAAGGTCTCCCTGGAGCCCTCTCTTTTCCAGGCTGAGCAGCTCCAATTCTCAGCCTGTCTTCATAGCAGAGCTGCTCCAAGCCCTTAGATTATCTTGGTGGCCCTTCTCAGGACCCTCTCCAACAACTCCCTATCTTTCTTGTGCTGAGGGCTCCAGAACTGTACACAGTATTCCAGGTGGAGTCTGAGCAGGGGGGGCAGAATCACCTTGCTGGCCACACATACAGCCCAGGACATGGTTTGTTTCCAGGCTACAAGCACACAGTACTGGCTCGTGTTATGTTCCTCATCCACCGTCACCTCAGTGCTGCTCTCTAATCATTCTCACCCCCAGCCTGTATTTGTGCCTGGGGTTGTGCTGACCCAGCTGCATGACCCTGCACTTGGCCTTGTTGAACTTCATGAGTTTTGCACTGACCCACCTCTCCAGCCTGTCAAGGTCCCTCTGGATGGTCCCTTCCCTCTTGAGTGTCAACCACACCACACAGCTGGGTATTATCAGCAAACTTGCTGAGGATACACTCAGTCCCACTGTCCATGTCTCCAAGAAAGATGTTAAAACAGCAGTGGTCCCAGTATTGACCCCTGAGGGACACCACTCATCACTTGCCTCCATTTGGACACTGAGCCATTGACCACAACTCTGGGTGTGGCCATCCAGCCAATCTTTTATCCACTGAGTGGTCCATCTGACAAATCCATGTCTTGTCAGTTTGGAGACCAGGGTGTCATGTGGGACAGTGTCAAATGCCTTGCACAAATGTTCTTGGTCTGCTGCATTACTGTTGCTCAGAGCAGGAACATGTGCATTGCCCTGCAGATTTCATTAGACTTCAGGCTCAGATGATTAGGTAAAGATCACAAACTATAATGGGTTTAGATAGTAAGAAACTGAGGTATAATTTGTATAATTTATTTTTTTTTACTGTTAATGTGTATATTTTCTGTCTGCAGGTTACTGCTTCTCAACAAAGTCTGTGCCAAGGTGACAACTCCTTGGTCTAGGTGTTGGGATTTTCAGGAAGAACTTAGAACTATGAAAATAATTCTGTCCTTTTATATGAGGGAAAAAAAAAAAAAAAAAAAGGATGACAAGGCATCATTTGGCTCTTGTTGCAGATCAGCAAGTTAAATTTCTGCTGCACAAGGCACATCCAGACAGAAGCCTGTCACAGAATCGCATTTCTCTTGGGGATCGCAAATGTAACTTCCACTTTGTATTTATTTGTACCCAGATTCCTGGGTTTGCTTTTAGATTAAATAGCTTGGTTTGGTTGGTTAATTTCTGCCCTTACTCCCAATCCTTGGTGTACTTGAAAATAGTAAGCATCGTCTCTGAAGGTTTATTATCTGATGGGTTAGGCAAACAAATTCATCTAGTCTGCTTAAAATAAGGTCTCCTTTCTGAGTATCATCCCCTTCTCTGCACTTCTTCTATTAAAATATATTTCTGAGCATGAGTGGTTAAACTTGAACCAGTTATTTTTAGATTATATGCTAGAGATTTTCTTCTCTCATGATGTGTTCTAAAACTGTAATAATGTTTTTTTTCACAGAGTTTTTTCATTAATGGATCGCAGTCCTTTAGGAGCAGAGAGGTCTTGGGGACTGCTGTAGAGAAGTTTTCAAATTTTGACCTTGTTTCCAACTCTGCCACCAACTTATAAAAATAACTGATGTGAATCACAATGCCCATAACCTTTAATCTTCTGGTTTACTTAATTTCTGTTACTGTATGTGGACAGCGTACTCTGGGAGATGATCTGAACTTCCACTGTGTTTTGGTGGTTGTCTTCCAGGTTTTACCTGCTGTCTGCTCTCGTTCTTTGTGTGTCAGCAAGAGTCAAACAAAAATTAAACCACATCAGCCCTGCTTTGGTCAAGTGGCTGACAGCATGTATCGTGTTAGTCATAAACTATCATTTGATAGACCCATGTTCATGGTGTCCCATTATTAATTAATCTTCCCTTTAAAAGGGAAATTTGTTACAATTCTGTTCTCAAAATTTCTTCAGTACAGGTTAAGTACACTTGCTGATTTTGGCCTATGCAGCTCTCCAGTTGTTATATTGTATTTTTAATATAACACCTGCACACTGTAAGTTTCAAAATGAGTACCCATACTCTCCATTCATTGCAAAATGTGTTGTTCTTATGTGCTGCCAAATCTGTAATTATTCCCTCTAGAATTGGACTATTTCTCTATATGACTTTCTTGGGCAGTTTTCTGTAATTTTCAAGCCCCATCAATTACCAACTCCATAAGTTCTCTGTCTGACTTACTGGTTCCCTCGGGTTTTCAAAACTTTCACTTCTCTAATGGAAACACATTAACAGATCTGTTTTGGTCTATTTTTCTATAAGTGCAAAATGGGACTGTCTGTGTTCTACCCAAAGGCATTTTTTGCTATTGGATTACCTATAATGTCATCACTGTTCAATGAAACAAAGTCTAAAATGTTTCATTTATTTGCTTGGATGGAAAATGCTGGTTCTCATTGAGACACTTGTGGCTTCTATCGTGAATATCAGATATTTAACACTTCACAGATGCACAACTCCAGATTTTCTTTGTTTCTGTTTCTGTACTGCTACAAGAAGGTCACTGCTTATAGCCAAGCTTGATTTTAGGAGTGTGTGTCAGAGCCCGGAGAACTTCCCTCTTCAACCATTTTGATTTAGGTAAGCCAGAGAAATTCAGGTAGATTTTTTTTAAATACCCCTGTTCCTAACCCTTGTTCATAGCATCTCTCAACACTTTTCTGCCATGGCTAGCTCCTCAGACTCAATGGGCTCTGGAAAATTCTATGCTGGTCTTAAGGAACACTGCTGTGTACTAAGTAACTTCAAAAAATGTTCCATTTGAAATACTAGCATGGGATTTCAAAGTGCTGAGCCACTGAATCTTTTATTTACTTCACGTAAGTGGGACTAGCCCAGCTGTATAGCCTGGGGAGTCCTACCCTGTCATCCTCCCACGGAGGTTAGGGAATAGGTTAGTTGATTTTGTGACCCTATTAAATACTAAGTGTTTGTTGATCTCAAAGGAACCAGAATCTCATTGAAGAATAACTTCTTTAAATACATTCTTACCAAAGAGATTAACATGGAGAT